CAACCTATGCACCATTGACCAAGTCACTTGAACTCTTTAGACCTTAACTTTCCTCATCTTCAAAACAAGAGTGTCTTTCTCACAGTTCCCGGTGTTGTTAACAATGCCAATCCCGGTCTAACCTATCCCCCTGAATCTGACTCTGCATCTTTGCTTCAGGAAAACGACTTGTTACTAGAAGCCAAGGCACTGTGTTGTTGAACGACACTGAAAATGTTCCTATACTTAAGCATTCATCATTTTGTTGACTTGACAACAGTAGATGATGCATGCTTTGGGACTGACTGTTACATATATTCTGTGGAATCTTTTCTTTTCTCTGATCAACTTTATAACGAGCTAAACTAGCCCGTTTTTCTTGCTCTTCCTGACTCACGGAGCTGTACACAAGCCTAGGCATCGTGCAGCACCATCTTCTGTGTCTTCACTAGCTGTGCCTTAAAATGCTAAAGCTCTGTACTTACTTATATGTACTCCGCTATGATTTAGTATTTCTATTGTATTAATATTATAAAATGCAAAACAATCTTGAAAGGGAAAAATGGAAATACTAACATTTTTAAAACGCCGGCAAATAAAAATCTTGGTTTAACACTTTATGGTATAGTCACCAAAAATAACATGGTCATACTGGTTTAGTGCATTGCCATCCAGGCTGTAACCTTTATGAAAACACCTTTCTGTCACTGCCGGCGGGTGAGTTCAAATCCCTGGTCTTTCTCTTAGTTGTGGAACACGAACCACTGCTCCACCAGGGCTTTTGACACAAAGTAATCATAGATGAAATTATGCTCTACAAAGATAAGCAGAGTTAAAGAGAGTAAGTGCCTTATTTTAATTGCATTTCTGACTTTTTTGTGCTAATTGTTAAATTCCATCCATCTAGAATGCCAAGATTTTTGTGACCAGCACATACCCATTTTTCCAGATATGGACAATGAGTGCAGACTAATTGGAAAATGTGACATTTTTTCTCTACTCTAGCAAACACAATGAAAACATTACATTCATCTGGAAAAAAATGTGGACGGGTTAGAGAATTATATTTCTAAGATTGTTGTGTGTATGGGAATGTGTTTGCATTGTTTCTGGCAACAACCAAGCTGACAATAAGAGCATCCCCAACATCCATTTTCAATCTGCTTTCTGCATCGCGTGAATTTCCTTCTAATATTAGTCAGTTCTCACTCATTTCTTACATCATTTTCTCCTCACCTCTACTTACCTTGGGGCAGATTAAACATTTTGAATGTTTGAAGGTATCTGCCAGGTATTAGGACAGCCACAGAACAAAGTCAGGAAACGTGGAACACCTTGGTTTTACAGAAAGTGTAAGGAGTCAGGCAAGTTTTAAATGCTTTGCCACGAGATAACTTACAACCGTCTACAGACATCAAAGACTTCCATGGTCATTCTACTTCTATTTTCTTCTACGTAATCCCATAGAGGGCCTCCTGTAGCATTTTGTGCACTTCTGGTTCAACTTTTTTATGCAAAGGTGTCCTTAAGGCTGAGGCTTTGAATGAATGTCACCGGCGTGGCCAGCTCTACATTTGCCTCTGAATCTTTGCTTTGTCTATTCTGTTCGGGCATCCGCCACCTGAGTGGTTATAATTAACACGGATACCAACTCCCTTTCATTAAAAAAAATAAATAACTCGTTGACCGTTCAGGCTGTATCTTTACAAGTACAGTACAGGTTTTTGTTTGGCAGGTCAGATAAAAGTGTGTGTGTGTGTGTGTGTGTGTGTGTGTGTGTGTGTGTGTGTGTGTGTGTGTGAATATCATGATTGAAACAGAATCTAGCTGCCCTGTGATGGAATCGTATGAGAAGCATGCCAAATGTCATATGACAGTACAACAAGCATTCATTCCATACTATGTAACCCTTTTTACTAAAACTTTGTTTTGTGTCTCCCATAGGATTTTCCAAGAGAAGCTTTTTCGCCGTTGTTTTATGTATCCTCTTTTCCCCATTGTTATTGTGGTGGTTTCCCACCAAAAGTATACTTGCTATTTAATAAGAAATCTTTTTTAAAAGTAATAATGGCAACAACCAAAAGACCCTAACCTGTTGCTGCTGAGTTGATTCTGACTCATGATTACCCCGTACGGTACACACTAGAAGTGCTCCATTGGGTTTCATTTTTGTTTTTATTTATTACGTTGCTGTTTTTTTTAGGTGAACGTTTACAGGGCAAATGTGTCTCCGATTCAGCAGTTCATAAGCATCTTTCTGTGACCAAAGCCCATGCTCTGTGTCGGCCTCCTCCCTGTCTCCTCTAACCCGGGTTTTCTGCCCCTTCCTGCCTTCCTGAGTTGGCTCATGGGAAAATGCTGCCCTGTGCTCTGGTGTCGTTGATGTTGGGGGGGGGGGGACTCCTCTCAGGTGTCACTGTCCACTCTTGTGTGTGACTGAAAGGTGGTACTTGGGAGTGGCTTCAGTTCTAAGTTAGAAGGGTGCCGTAGGGGGCTCTACTAGTCTCTGTCAGACCCCAAGTCTGATCTTTTTAATCAATATAAATTTGGCTCCATGGAGTTCTCTAGATTGTAGTATTTGGGGGAGCAGATCACCAGGTCTTTCTCCCCTGGGTCCAATGGGTGTATTTGAATCTCTGAGCTTTAAATTAGTGGTCAAACACAAACCATGTATGCCACCAAGGGGCATTTTATTTTCCTTTTCATCTCAAAAGTGGCTTAAAAATAGTGTAAATGTTTAGTTCCTTTTTTTATTTTTTTAAATCCAGGGTTGAAATGACACAATTTTACAAAGCTATAGATTTGTTGAAACAACATGTATTCTGAATTCTTAATTTCTGCTAGCTTGCTAATGGTGAGAGTTTTAGTCTGTAAGTTTCTAATAGGGACACAGAACATGATGTACTTGGGTACATGTTAATTGCTAGCAATAATGTAAATTAAAAGCTGTATTTCAAGTAGTCTTTTTGAAAAACTTTGAAATCTAAAATAATGTTAGATTTACAGACGGATTACAACGACCAAGTAAGGAGGACTCTTCTTAAATAGCAAGCACCATGGGTGGCTGCCTTCTTGTCCACTTTTCAAAGTAAAAAGACATGTATACTGAGTTAGTTAATTGTGCCAGCCTGGCCAATAATCACATGTGGGGCTAATTGAAAGGCGGAGAGATAGTTCTCGGGTGAGCCTCGCCTTTATAGTTCTCGGGTCTCTTGTTTTGTGATGGTTGCACCGGGTGCAGCTGCCTTAGCAGTTCCCTGCTTCAGCTTGCAAGATTGACTTCCTACAAGATATCCCCAAGGAGAAGCTACATGGACCTATCCCGATGCAGCCCTAGGTGCTGGAGCAGCCGTGTGGAGACCGCTGCTAGTGCTGAGATGCTTGTTCGTTCACTGACTCAGCTTTCCTCCTGCAGTCGGCATCATTGCCTCTGTTTTGTGAGGTGGAGGACTTTGTGGACTGGTGTTGGGTTAATGGGTTAATGTTGGACTTGTGGGCTTGGGCAGCATTGGGTTGGGATGTTTTCGTGATGCACATTTTCTTTACATAAAACTCTCTCTTATATATGAGTTGCTGTGGATTTGTTTCTCCAAAGTACCTAGACTAATACATATACGTAGACATTCTAGAATCCCCTTTCCATAGCAGATAGCTTTCCTGGAAAGAGTTGGCCGGGGACATTCCTTACACCCCGAGGATGAGTTCATTCCGGTTTGTAGAACCTGCTCTGCAGGACGTTCACTCTCGTTTGGCTGTCTGGGTTTTTGAAGGAAAGTCTACCCTGTGCTTCTACTAATGTGCAGTGCTTCAACAAGAAAAACAGGCCCATCTCAATGCCTTGGTCTTTATTCACCAAATTCGTGTCCTCTAATTACTGATGGTTTGTTTGTGAAGGAAGCACTGCTTTAAACCATCTCTCTCTAATATATATATATATGCTGCAACCATGTCCTTTTAGCAGAAGGGATGGGAAAAACTAAATGGCAGCTTCCAGTTGTGACACCCCCTTCCAGTGTGTGCCTCCGCCCCATGATTGGGCTAGTTGCATGATTTTACTATTGAGACTGGGAACAAATTACTTGATAGCGATGCTATTCATTTAGCGAAAGAATGAATGGTGTCATCATTGCCCAGATCGCCCTTAAAGGGGATTATTTGTACTCCAGATGCTGGGAGTGTTACTGGGCGAAGGCCATCAGCTGTCAGCCCTGTTTGAGGATTGCCACCATGGGAACATGCTGACCTCACCCGGAGGCAGTCTGCAGCCAGTGACTGATCCAGCCCCCGCTCCATCGTGGGATAGCGCTGAGGGACCTGCCTGATGTGGAGCTAATGCGGGGCTGACTGAGGCCTTGGGTGGGGGGTCCATTGCAGATAAGCCCCATCCTGTACCCTTCCCCTCCCCCTTCCCTCTGGTGGTGCTGATTCAAAGAGCACTCGCTGATAGACATCCTGTCCCAGAACCAGCCTCCCAGGAAACCAAGCTGCCACACACGAAAATGTTCCTGTTTGAAAGAGTACAAAGTGGCAGAGAGAGCGCATGCTAGAGATTTCAGTTTTTAAGATTTGTGAATAATGTTCCTGATATGAGGAGGCTTTGGAAAGTTTATGGACCAATTCCATGGTCTTTTCATTCTCCTGCCATGACCTTTTAGAAGCTGCCCTCATGGAGGTATGCCATACCTGTGGCAGGGCACCCTTCCAACCTCAGAACTTTATATACAGGGGTGCAGGGGTTAAAGTGCTGGGATGCTAACCCCAAATGTGTCCATCTGCTTTGTAAAGATTGACAGCCTTGGAAACACTGTGGGGCAGGTCTAGTCTGTCAGAGGGGTGGTGGTTAGATTTTTATGTCAACTCGAGAGTACCCGGGTGAAGGTAGGGGTGGAGTGCAACCAGTCACTCCGGTAGTAGCCTGGAATGCCTTCTTGGGAGTGTGGCCTTTTTGTAAGAGAGATGGTGAAGGCTTCTCTTTCTTTTCCTTTGCCTTTTACTTGCTTGGATTCTGTGTCTGCTTCCAGGGGCAACCTGATGGGGGCCATGGACCTTAGGAGCTGTTCGCATCCCGCCACGTTCCCACTAACCTCGGATGGGTCCATACTGCACCCACCAGCCAGTGAGTTCCCCAATTCCCTTTCTGTTTGCTGGGCCTATAGCTACATGAGTCTGAAGAGGGTTCCCCCGAGCATCAGACCCACGGACGTGAGTGGGATTGGCTGGGACACCTTTATGCTCTCAAATTACTTCTGGATGTAAAGGTCTTTCTTATACATAGAGGACTGCCTCTGGATTTGCTGCTCTAGACCACCCAGCCTAACACAAGGGTGATCTAAATCAACCTAAGATCTAAAACATCCCCACAGCAAAAGGGAGCGCTATTTCCAAGCTTCTGCTATTTCTCCAACACAGCCAAGTATTTATTGAACATCTATTCCGTACCAGGCACCGTTCTAGGTGCTAGGACTACTAGTCACCTTTTATATCATGCTTTGCTTCAACGTTAAGAGTTCATTACTGTTATTATTGCCATTTTACAGATGGGAAAATGGAGGTTATGTAAGAAGTAGTGGCACCAGGGTCCATAACCTGCCTCTAGTGCCTCTACTTTGAACCCCCTTACACACACCAGCTCATCTCCCATGCTTTATTCCATCGACTCCTTATTGATGGACAGTCTGGCTATGATAAACAAGGCCACAGTGAAGAGCCTTTCCCATGTCTCTTTGTGGCTGCCTCGTGTTTGTGAAACCAATCAAGAAGAGGGGATTATCCTAGGGGCAGCTGAGTCATATGAGGCTCTGTTTCTGATGCTTCTTCATCTGAGCTCATGACGTCCCAGGATACCAACGAGGAGCCCCAGCATTGCCCTGTTGAATGTGAAAGGTGCTGGGCTTCAAAATGAGGGCGGTGAGGAATCAAATAGCACCGCATTCCATTCTTATATGAAAATCTTACACTGAGCTTTTAAAACATTTCCATGCAGGCCCTGCGTGCTGGAGGCACATTTGCAGATAAGGTAATACCTGGATGACTAGCACCGGCATCTCTGGTGGGAAGTGGAATGCTTTTATTGAAGTTACTCTTGTTTGTGTTTCAGAACAGGAACAACAACAACGACAACAAAGAAAGCAGATCTACAATCTGGGCCTGGTTTTAATCATCGCATAATCTTTATGAGACAACGTAAGGCTGAGGATTTTTAATCTGATATTTTAAAAGAGAAAGACGTGTTCAAAAATGACAAAAACCAATCAGCCTTAGGAAAAACATAAAAACAGAGAAAGAGAGAGAGAGAAAGAAAAAGAAAATGCTTGCATAAAACTGAAGCCGGAAATTCCAGGGACGTTTCACAGGGAGAAGAGAAAAAAAACAAAGTCTGCCTCCTTATTTATTAGGTGGCTGTTTCTTAAGACAGCATCATATTTAGTTTTGTGGAACAATCAGCACTCCGTGTAGCAGAAATTGGGGTGTTCACACTCCCTGAAGTGAGAACGTCACAATTCTCTGGCCGTCTCACAAGCCCACAGTGTGGCCCATGATGCTCTGTGTCCCCGTGTCCTCTTCAGGAACTCCTGGTCAGAGACCCGTCATACATTGCATGATGGAATGCCCGAGACATGGGAACACCTCCATAGGCATTCCTGAAAATCCTGTGTTGTCGTCCAATGGTCCGTTCCACTAATTGGAGGGAAACAGCCATTTGGCATGGCTTCAGTGTTAGTGCTGATGAGTCTGAGGCCTTTTCGTAGTGTGCTCAGCTGTAGAGGGAATAGTCAAACCTCAATCCCCCAAAAAGCTGCAGAACTAGTAATGGATTTCTAGGAAGTGTTGGTTAGGGTTACTACTCAGTGGACTATATTTTCATTAAAATGTGAGCATTGGTTTTATACCAGGTGCGTTAACTTTACTGTTTCCTAGAGTGTCTATAATTTCAAAATTAATCTACTCTTATATGTGTTTGCATGCATCTGGCTGTCTTTCTAACAGGTATAACGACTCGACTATGGGCTAATAAATGCATAGAAAGCCAAAAGTTTCAGTGAGATGCACTTTACCAAATGATGTCTAGTACTGTTCCTTCTCCACCAAAGCATTCCATCTTAAACGCACTCTAAAACACCGTATTTTGTGCTGACGTGTGCCAGTCCCCTTTGGCGCAGTAGTCAGAAGCTTGGCTATTAATCAAAAGGCTGATGGTTGGAACCTACCTGTTGGTCTATGAGAGAAAGATGTTGATGGCCTGCTTCTGTAAAGATGGACCGTCTTGGAAACCCTCTGGGGAAGTTCTACTTGATCCTACAGGATCACTGAGTCAGAATTGACTTAAGAGCATTGGGCTTGATTTGGGGTTCTGTGCTAGTCCCACAGCATGAATCAAATCCTGAAGGTTGAATAAGTAAGTTAAACATCATCTTAAAAATTCATCTTTCCCTTCTCCTGTTGTCTTGTCCCCTTTCCCAAAGAAGAAATCTGGATTTCTCTGTGACTAAAACAGTCACATGTTAGGATACTGTGGGACGTAAAACTTCCATTGCTTTACCTTACTCATTCCCATTTCCTAAAAGCATTGCAGAGGGAGAGGAAACAGTGGACAAATGAACATTTCTGATATTTTCTCATTAGAATTCTCTATTTTTTTCCCTTGGCCATAAATAATACCTATTTACTAAAATGAATAAAATTGCTTTTTCTCCTGTTACTCAAGTCCCTTTGTCTATAGAAAATGGTAAGAGCTCATCCATTATTTAAGTTACTCTCTCTATAACTGGATTAATATATACACGCATCCTGGCAAGTAGATTGATGGTTCCCACAGATTTTCTGCTGAAAGACCCCCTTCATAACCGGTACAATTATGCTTCGCAGTGAAGAGACACTATTAGAATCACCAGGTTTTCGTGTTAGTAAATAATGCTGAAAAAAGTAGAAAAATTCAAGCTATTTTTAGCCAAAGGATGTTCTCCTAGTTTAAAGATTCTTTCCTACTCCCCTAATTCTCCAGGGTCTGGAGTGGAAAGTTATAGCGATTACCTCCAGCTTTGCAGAGAAAAACTCAGCCTGGATTGTTCAGTGTAAACATTTGGGGTTTGATCTTTCTTTCATGATCGTCCCGACCTCTTTCTATCACTGCTTCCAGCTTCCCCAGCACCATGAGAAGTTCCTGGCCCTGACCGCCGAGCTTTGCAAACCCCGTTTCTTCAATACTGGGGGAAGGTGGAGTAGATGAGAAGAGAAGGGAAGCCCAATGCAAAAAGCTAGTGTAAAAGCTTGAATTGTGTGTGGGGGGTGTGTGGGGGTTGTGCAGAAAGATTATCCCCCATCCCAGATGGCCTCCACTGTTGAAAATGCATACGTGTATCGGTCTGATGTTTAAAACTGGCAGACTTAAAAGATTTGTTTTAAAAGACTGAGAAGTCCAGCACAGCTTATAGAAGATAACCATCTGCAAGTGATAAAATCATACACACATAAATGGTTTGCAATGTTAATTTTTTTCTTTTTTTAGTAAATACATTTGAGAGAAAGGCTCTTGGAAAGAGACTGAGAGAGAGCCTATGAACTGATCATAACAATTGTCCTGCTTAGTACACAGATCCCAGCGTGTCCCATCTAACTTGTCCACACCTGGTGTAACATGCTGTGCCTCCAAGGCCGTGGTGAAAAGATTCAGTTGTTGACTGGGAGAAATGGGAGCTCCAGGGCCTCATTCTGTTATTATCTGCGAAGCCCTTAGAAAGGAGCCCCAGTGACTTGGCAGCCGAGTGGGTTACACATTGCACTGCTAACTGCAAGGTCAGCACTGTAAAATCACCCACCGCTCCATGGGAGAAAGATGCGGCTTTCTCCTCCTGTAAAGACTTCCTGTCTCATAACTCATGGGGCGGTTCTAGTCTGCCTTCCAGTGTCACTCTGAGTTTGAATCAACTCGATGGCAGGGAGCGTGCCCTGAAGCAGGAGCCCTGATGGCACTGTGAGATAAACGTTGAACCGATCACCACCAAGTTGGTGGTTCAAATCCACCAGCCGCTCTGGAGGATGTTCTCCACTCCTGAAAGATTGACAACCTTAGGAACCCTATCTAGGGCCACTCTACGTCAGAATCAACGTTGATAGCAGTGGGGTTTGGGGTGTGCATGTGTTAGTCTCTATGCTGGATGTGACTTGTTTCAGTGTGACTAGAATGAGCAGGTCTCTGTGTCAGTCTGGGTAGACTAGAGAAACAAATTCCTGGAGACTCATATGTGTAATAAGAGCTTAATATACAAGAACAGTTGAATATTGAGATAACATCCCAGTCCATCCAGATCAAGTCCATAGTCTAATATTAGCTCATATGTCCACTACCAATCTATTAAGTCCTCTTCAGACTCACAAAACACACGCGATGATGCCAAATGCAGGATGATCACAGGCCAGTGGATGGAAAGTCTTGTGGACCTAGTGGCGGTAGAAGTGTCTCAGCACATGGCTCCTCCAGTTCCCAGGGGATGGGGTCTATCAGCATAATGCCATGTGACTTGTCAGTGGAGCGTCCAGGGAGTGAGCAGAGAGAGTGTGTCTCCCACCGTCAAGGAGGAATACAGGCATTCCCAGAATCCTCAGGAGAAGGCCATGCTCACACAGAGGCCTCATTGGCTATGACCTGATTGACTCAACCCTCTCAAGTCCCAAATTGACACCAGATTATGTCACTACCACAGTCTCTCCCTTCAGCCAACATCTTCGGAAGCCTTCTTTCTACGGTGAAGGGGGGCTGCCTGCTGTTCAGGGTCTCACAAGTAGTCCCCCTTTGGCAGGCTGCATTCTCACTCGTTTCCTATCGCTCTCTCGGTGGGAAATGGTCTCATTTTCCTGCCATCCACAGCTTTGACCGTATAATGGGAGCCAACCTGGCAAATAGTCTTTCTTGAAGACAGCCTACGCATTAGATTATTTGTGTACATGAAGTCATTTAACTCCCACCCAGAACATATCTCTGAGGTAGCTACCATATTCTCCCCAATTATAAATTTGCAACCGAGCTTTCCAGGGGTCCAGTACTTGCTCAAGGTCAAACAACCAGAATGATAGAATATTTAACCTTAACCCGTGTAACCTCGAAGCGTTTGCTTTTAACCACAAACGCTGGCTGCTTTCTTGTATTAATTGGTAGCTTGGAGAGGGAAGAACGCCCCAAGGGAAGGGCCCTGAGCCCGATAAGTTTTGATTCAAGGCAAATGAGTTAAAAATAGCACAGATCAAGGACTCTCCTTCTAGTCGAGATGGAATAATAGCAAGGACGGAGTTCGCGCTTCTGTAAACTCAAACAATCACTAAAATCATGAAAACCCAAGCAATATGAGGGAGCCTCAAAAAGTTCATGAGGGGAAATGAAATGAAGGGAGATTAGAATTTTCCCATGAAGTCGTTGAAGGCCCTCTCCCTCGTCCATGTGAAAAGGCACTTTGAACGCTATTGGACATCTGACCGGGAAAGACAGTGAGAAAAGAGGGGTCAGGTGAAACCTACAATTGCCCAAGCCCTACAGGAGTGTGAGCTCTGCTACAGAGAAGAGATGAGAGTTCTACACAGAGAGAATGCCAGAGATGGCGTGCTTGCCGTTCCAGCTGAAACTGATCAGAACATAGATGGAGGAAACTCCCAAGGCCAGGGAAAGAGCCACTTGAAAGAATTAAAATGGAAACTTTCCAGAGCTCACCCTGGGCCAGAAATAGTTCCTATTCCCACCAGACAGAATGAAAAATACCCTAACTCCAGGGACACTAGGTAAAGTACTCCAAAGTGCTTTGCCTAGAGATGTAGCAAAATTAGACCCAACCTATGTTTTCTCTGGTTGTGTCTAATTGATCTCAACATCAGAACCAGAAAAGATCAAGCTGTCACCAAGTGATGTCATGGTGCCCCAGAGTACAGCTTAAGAATGGCGATTTACAAAACCTCACTGCCATCGAGGCAATTCTGAGCCCTCCGAGTGGCATAGTGGTTATGGGTTGGGTTGCTCAGGGAATGACCAGTAATTTGAACCCACCAATCTCTCCATGGGAGGAAGTTGAGGCTTTCCACTTCTATAAAGATTTATACCCCGGAAACCCACCGAGGCAGGTCTACCCTGTCCTATAGGGTTTCCCTGAAGAACAGTTATCCAAAACTCATTGCCATTGAGTCCACGCCAACTCAGCAACCCTATAGTTAGAGTAGGAGAGAAATATGGAGCAAATAAGTAACCCAATATGTTACCAAATAGGTAACATTCACAAAGTCCAGCATTTAATAAAAATGTAATTGAAAAACCAAACTCAATGCCATTGAGTTGATCCCAACATATAGTGATCCTGAAGGACAAATTAGAACTGTTCCTTTGGGTTTTTAAGCCCACAAATCTTTATGGAAGCAGGAAGCCTCATTTGTCTCCCATGGAGTGGCAGGTGGTTTTGAACTCATGATTTTGTGGTTAGCAGCCCAGCGTGCAGCCTGCTATGCCACCAGAGATCCTTCAAAGTGTAATGTGTATAGCAAGAAAAAGCATGGACATATGGCACATAACCAGAAAGGAACATTTTAATCAGTTGTAGATAAATGATAGAATAAGGAGATAAAGCCACTAAAACAATTATATCTGTAGTCCTTATATCCAGGAGCTTGAGAAAAGGATGTGTATGATTAATGGAGGCATGGAAAACATCAAATGACCCAAACTGAAATTCTGGTGATCTGAAAATCTTCTAAGTGATGTGATAGTTAAGGTTTATTGTGCCAATCTGGCCGTTGATCCCATGTGGGATTCATTGAAGGGCAGTTTAATTGAAGGGCAGAGAAATAAATGGCTCAGGGAGCCTCGTCTTTCTGGTCTCTTGTTCTCTGATGCTCAGACCAGTGTGCAGCTGCCTTATCTAGTTCTCTGCCTCG